CACCAGCCAGGACTGGTTTTGGTTTTTGATAAGCATTAAAGCATGCTCATATGACATCTGTCACAGTATAGACTAAAAAAAAGGTTTAGAATGAAATTAAAATCAACTTAGCACTATTAGAGCCATCTTAGGAAAACAGCAAACCAACTTTTTGGCCAACCCTATAAATTGTGGGAAGATTAGAAGGAGGTAAAGTGAGGCTGGAGATAGAGTAGGGGGTAAAAAATGGGACTGCAATGGAGGGTGCTAAGCAAGGGGGTAGAGAGTAAGGTAAAACTGATTTGCCTTTTTCAAATATTTCTTTGATATTCTTGTTCCCCTCTATTTTTTTCCTCCACAGTGATTTTTTTAAAAAAATTTTAAAATATTTTATTTATTTTTAGAGAGAGGGGAAAGGACAGAGAAAGCAATTGGTTGCCTCTCTCACGCTCCCAACTGGGGAGACCTAGCCCACAACCCAGGCATGTGCCCTGACTAGGAATCAAACCTGCAGCCTTTTGGTCCACAGGCCAGCACTCAATCCACTAAGCCATACCAGCCAGGGCAATTTTTAAATTTTTTTTATGTGTCCTTGTATTTTAACTGATCTTTTTATTTTTTTATTGTATTTTTCCCTTATGTCCTCCTGCCACCACAATCACCAGACTGTTGCCCATGTCCATGAGTCCTTTTTCCTTTTTGCCCCATCCTCCCCTCTGTCTCTCCCTGCCGCCCCAGAGCTATCAGCAGCCTTCTCTCTATCTGTGAGTTTCTCTGTTTTGCTTGTTAGTTCATTTTGTTCATTAGATTAAACATATGAGTGAAATCATAGGATATTTGTCTTTCTCAGACTGGTTTATTTCACTTAGCATAATGTTCTCTATGTCCATCCATGCTGTCACAAAGGGCGAAATTTTCTTCTTTTTTATGGCCAAGTGGTATTTCATTGTGTAAATGTACCATAGCTGTTTTATCCACTCATCTACTGATGGACACTTGGTGAGGATGTGGAGAAATTGCAACCCTTGTGTGCTGTTGGTGAAAATGTGAAATGGCACAGTCATTTCAGGAAACAATATGGTAGTTTCTCAACAAATTAAGAATAGAATTACCACATGACCCATCAATTCCACTTCTGAGTATATATTCAAAATAATTGAAAGTCTCCAAGAGATATTTTTATAACCATGTTCATAGGAACATTATAGCTGAAACATGGAAGCACTTCAAGTGTTCATCAGTGGATGAATGGCTAAGCAAAAGTATATACATACAACAGAATATTATTTAGCCTAAAAAAGGAAAGACATTCTGCAATATTCCACAACATAGATGAACATTGAGGACATTATGCTAAGTGAAGTAAGCCATTTACTAAAAGAATATACTGTATGATTCCACTTACATGAGATAGAGTAGCCAGAAGCATAAAAACAAAGTGTAATGATGGATGCCGGGGGCTGGGTGAGGGGAGAATGAAGAGTTATTAAGGATGCAGAATTTTTGTTTGGGGTGATGAAAAAGTTCTAGAAGTGGATAGTGGTGATGGTTGCACAACACTTTAATGTACTTAATGCCAATGCATTGTACATTTAAAAATGGTTAAATGGTAAATTTACAAGGTAAAAAGTTTCAGGGATGGATGGTGGTGATGGTTGCACAAGAATGTGAATAAATCTGATACCACTGAACTGTACATTTAAAATGGTTAAAGTGGTGTGATGCTCTGCATTTTACCACAATAATTTTTAAAAATTATGAAACTACCATAAATGGACTAATTAGAAATTATGTTATAGATATAGATTTATTGATACAGAAAGCTATCCATAACATATTATGGAATAATACTGAGAGATATATAATAGGATTCCATTTATGTAAATTTATAAATAAATGTCTACATGTGGTAAGTGCATAGAGAAATATCTGGAAAGATGCTTATTAAGATGGTAAAGTGGTCTTTTCAAGTGATTTCAGCATTTTATAATTCTCAGTAAGGTGTTTTCATTTTGCGGTTTAGGAATATTTAAAAAAGTCAAATCAGTGGGAAACAGGATTAGAATGTCATTACAACTAAATAACCATAAACCAAATTAATTTTATTGTAACATATTTGAAGAAAAGCTATTTAGCAGAAAGAAATGATCATTGTAAAGTATACGAAAAGGAAGCTTTAGGAGATAGACACGGGATGCCCAATGAAAGCCTATTGTGGATAGGTAGGTGCATGATGGGTATGCCAAGTGCTCTGTGGCAGGTGTCGCCCTCTTGTGATCATATTATTTTCTTTACCCAATTCCATGTTCACTAAGTAACTTTTGTTCCTCCTGAAGTTGGTTTATACAGAAAGAATAACCTGACTTTCCAATCAGCTCAACAGTGGTATGTCTTAAAGTATACTAGTAAGTTGCTATTCTGGTTTATATATTGGGCTTTATGTTTGGTTAATGAGAGTCTATACTAGAGAAGTCAGTTGCTACATAAGAAATCAGCTCCAAACCTTAGTGACTTAAAACACCAATGACCATTTATCATTTCTATCAGTTTCTCTGTCAGGAATTTAGAAGTGGCTCAGCTGGGCAACTGTGGCTCAGGGTCTCTTGTGAAGTTGCAGTTGTGATGCATTTCCAAGTTGGCTCCCTCACATGACTGGCAAATTGGTCTTGGCTATTGATTAGGGAGCTCAGCTACTTTCCGTAAGAATATCCCATTGAGTGTCCTCACCATATGACAGCTTGTTTCCTCAGAGTGAGCCATCCAGGAGACCAAGGCAAAAGTTGCAATGCAATGTCATTATATGATCTGTCCTCAGAAGTCACATGCCATCATTTCTGCTATGTTCTGTCAGTCACACCAGAAAAGCCCTGATTCAGGATGAGAGAGGACTATACAAAGACATGAATAATAAGAGGTGAGGATCATTGAGTAGGGGTCATCTTGAAGACTGGCTACCACAGAGCTCATGAAACAAGTGGCCTGTACCCCGGTCACCTCTACCTCACTACATGCCTTTCATTCAAAATAAAACAGTATACTATAGATTTTACATTGGTCATTGCATTTTATCTTCTAGTAGGGACAGCAAGAGAAGTGAGGGTCACCCTCAAAGAACCCATGTGTGTCTCAGGCACAGATTGATTTGAGTTAGACTATTCATAATTAGGAAAATGCCAAGATTCTGTGTTGTGTTTTGCAGCATTTCTGCTAAAGTCACCTTTTATTTTTACTTGTATGGAAATTGAACACTGAAAGGAAAATATATATATTCTCCAACATTAAGAAAATTGTAAACAGTTATTCAAACAACTGAGCTGATTTTATTAAGATCAGAAAAGTGATAACAGACTTAATGTTACTTATTGATGAGGAAATTCAAATTCATTCTCTCTTAAACTTACAAAGAGAAAATCTTCCTAGACAAATAAACATTATAGTCTCATGGTTAAAGGTTACATTTCAGTAAACCATCATATTTAAGGTAGAATCTCATAGGAAAGCTTTGTCCAAGTCAGCCAGTCTCAATGTTATGATGACACAATAATAAATAACTATAAATCAATAAGAACCATCTTCACTTCAACCTGCTTACCCTTAGTGCACAGTTGGCAAACACAAGGCCCACAGACCGAATCCAGCCTTGTTTTATCTGGCCCAGTACCTTGTTTCTACCTGGCAGCAGTGCTGAGCTCTTGCTTAACTATTAAGGAGTAGTTACATTTATACAGTCCTGAAATTACATTTGGCCCTTTGAAAGCAACCGTGAGGCTGATGTGGCCCCTGGTGAAAATGAGTTTGACACCCCTGCGTTAGTGTCTTCAAGATACCTGACTTGTAAATGTTCTCCCACCTTCATTCTTTTCTATTAAAAAAAAGATTTAATGGCTAACTGAGTGTTCTACATTCTAAAGACTTGTATCAGTAGCTCAAAGTTTCTCAGTCGAGATCCCTGCTACCTATAAATCTGTGGCTTTCAACTTTGTCTCTAATCAAGGCTGAATTTAAAGATCCAGAAACAAGTAATTTGACCATACTATAACCATGATGACCCGTCAGAGTCAGTTGTAAAACGTGGGTATAATAGGGTCTGTGTCTGAAAGAGGCAGAGACAGATGCACAGAGAGGAAGCATGTGAAAGGGAGAGAAAGAAGACAGTGTCTCGTTTATCCAGAATGGTCATCCAAGTTGATTGACCAAAGTCACTCTTGAAATAAAGAAAGAACCAGAGTCCAACTGATCAGGATTGCTGAGAGAGGAGAATCGTGAGAAAGGACACTAGCATTTATTGTGTGATACCTACATACCAGACAGTGGTTACCAGTTTAAGAAAACCAGGCACAGGCAAGCCAAGTAACTTGTCCAAGGTTCAGAAGTTGTCACTTATGGTTGCAAACAATGACTAACTCCAAATCAGTTTTACAATCCTCTTCTCACTCCTGAGCCAAGGACGTGAGACTTTATGACCATGATATTTTTACGCCATGGTCAACCAAATCACCTGCGAAACCTGGAAAAGGTTGAACTTTATTTTTCGACTTGTATATAATGCAGTTGCAAACCAAATTGGGATAAATTTGGATTTTGTACCTTATTAAGAATGGGACTAATACAGCATGATTGATTTGAGTAGCCTTGCCTTAGCAGGATATTTGGGCTGATTCCTTTTCTGGATGAGTCTTTGAGAATTCCTGAAATCTGGGGAGAGTAAGGGAGAGTATGGAGCCTTCCCTATACATCAGGAAATCCTGTTTTGCTAAGAACCTGGCCAAAGCCTTGGTGGTGTCAACTCCAAAGACAGATCCAGTTTTCTTGCAGTTACTGCATGCGATTCTCTGAAGAATTGTGGCTATATGCCACGATGTTTAACAAGAAGCTCCTTTATGACATCACCAGGCAGGTAGCTAAGGGGACTATTTGAGAACAACAGCGACTTTTGTGGGAATGCAAGAACAGCAGCTTTTAAAACTGAGGGTAAACATTCAGGCTTATTAGGACCCTAGATACAAGCCAGCTGGTAACATATGGGTTCTAACCAGAGGGGCAGCATCTATCAAGTGCTTAAGATGAATAAAACTGGGCCCAAGGTAATGGTTTCACCACATAAAGGGGCTGAGATTACTAACACCGCCCCTCAGCGGGGACATGGGTCCATTGCTTTCTCAACCCAGCGAAGTCGTGCGGTCTCCGTCAGCCCTTCTACCCATCAAAGATCAGAAGCTCGGCATTCTGCCATACCCCCTTCATCATCATCAGACTATCCTCGCTCTACCTCCTTCCAAGTAGGACCCAGCTCCCCTGGAGCACCCATCCCTAGAGCAACTGAGAGCCGATCAAAATCAGAAGCTTACCGCCATTCCTCTCTTCAGCGAAAGATCCAGCAAACTCAGACACCATTTCCCCATGCTGTTCAGATGCAGCAGAATATTAGTCAACCCAGAGAAGAAGCAACACGAAGAAGGGGTGAGAGCAAGTCAGGGCGTGACAGTAATGCTTATCCATTAGCCTCAGATGCCAGACCCTTTCGCCACTTGAGTTTTGCAGACCAGAAGGATAATGCACAAATGTTACAAGAAGACCCACCCTCCAAGGTCCTGTACCCACAAGGAGTCAGAGTTCCTCGGCGGCCTATGGTTTCTCCAAAGGATAAAGCAGTCCAAACTGAACCCATCCGAAAGAGTGTGACTTCTTCTGAGATCAGATCTACAAGGAGATCCTTTAGTCCAGAACAGGGCAACAAACACATCTTTGCAGACTCTCGAACAACCCAGAGGAGGATCCCTGGCCAAGAGTCTGAAACAGGTCGTCACAGTTCAGTTTATACAGAACCCAAGACGTTGCATAGGAACAAGAACTTGGAATCGTCCCTCACACTCTCTGTCCTTAAAGATATAGATGGTGGACACCAAGTTTCTATGCATACAGAGCTTGAGCCTACCCTCAAGCATTCTGCCTACACTGAACCCAAGCCCTCGCTAAAAGTCTTAGTATCATCAGAAGTGGAGTCCAGCATAAAGACCCCAGTGCGAGGAGATGGCACAGTTGGCCATAGAGTCACTATCAGCTCAGGACCACAGTCAGCACAGGCAGCTCCCCGTGTGACATCTCGGGCAGGATCAGAGAGCCCCCAAAGAGCTTCCATGTTTACTTTTCCCGAGCCTGTCTATAAGCAGCACACCCAGAGAGCCTCAGAAAGTGTCTCCATGTCCCCACTACCCAGACTCAAGCATCCAGAACCTTCCCCAAATCCATCTTTTCATACCAAAGTGGAACTGACCCCTCGGCCCTTACCCCCTCGTTCCATACCTAAGTATGGTCCTGAGTCCTCATGGTGGGCCTTACTCAATACTGAAGTTGAAATGCCCCAAAGCCAATCAACACCACCTGATTTTGAGGTTGACTCCTCCCCTCTCATAGACTATTCATTGTTCTCTTTTGAAATGGACTCAAACCCTTGCTGTGAGGATCTGATGTTCCAGAGAGAGAAGGCAAGTGCATCACCACCACCAGCACCAGCGACACCACCACCACCACCACCACCACCACCACCACTACAATTACTAAAGGAGCCTCCAGGCCGGGCACCATTGAGGGGAGTGCCACAGGCCCCCAAGCACACCTCCAAACAACCCATTCAAAGGTTTAGTGCTTTCTTCTTGGGTATGTGAAGAAGCAGACTGCCCAGGTGCAAACCCGAATTAGTAAGGTGGGGCATGGGCAGGGAAGGCCCCCTCTTCATTCTGGGCCTCAGAGCTGCTCTCCTGCCAGTGTCAAAGCTAGACCCATCCTTGAGCCCATTGCTCCCTTCCTTCCCCTCCAGCTTCTCTGAGCTCCAAGCTAATGACATCGATGACGATGCTTGGGTCGGCGTCAGGCATTGAATCTTCCAGGCAACGCTGCTTAATCTTTTAATGGAAGGTAGTAGAGTGGTTTGCAGGGTGGGGAAGCTGCTTCCCGAGAGTGGACATGAAGAACTGAGCTGGGGTGAGGGCTGGTAAAGGCTAGGAGAGACATTAAGGTCCTTCGGTAAATACTCTGGCAACAAAGTGGAGGAGGTGGGACATAGATGAGCTGGGACTTAAGACTTCCAAGAGGGGAATGGCATTAACAGTGGCACAGAGGGTGGAAGAAAAAGGAAGAATGGGAAGGTGACATTTAGTCCTAGACTGGGGGAACTTCTTGGAGAGGATCAAAGGCTTGAGGGTACCTTTGGGAGGAGAGTTGTGGAGCTAGAAAGGGAACTAGATGTTAAGTAGGAGGGGGAAGGGAATGTGCATTCCACAGAGAGAAAAAAAGCACCACTCTTACTTTCAGATGTCTCTGAGGAAATGTACAATCGTGTCATCTGGTGGCTAAAAGGTCTGTGCTTTCCCCTCCCATGGGCCCACTGTGGGGGTCTGGGTGGCTGGAGGACAGTTAGTAGGGTATCCTCGATGTATGCGCAGAGCTAGGTCTTTTAGGACACTGCTCATGCTAGGATTTTGACTTGAAGGAGCAGAGGAACTTATTTTGCCTAAAATTCTACCATTAATTATTCCTTCTGGACCTGGAACCCTTTTTATCTTCAAGAATTTCTTTTTATTTTAAGACTCTGTTTTTAATGGGAAGTAGTCACTTCTGGAATGGAGAACAGTGGAAACCTGTGGCCTGTCAGCCTGATCTTACCTATCACGAGATAAACAAACCCCAGCAAAACAAATTACTTGCTTCACAGTCTTACTCAGGGCTAAGCCCACACTAGTTCAGGTTGAGGGGTCTCCTCGTGTGTGTCTCTGGTTCCTCAGAGCCCTCCTTACACCCTGATTCCAGGACCTGGGAGGTACTTATTGGCTGCTGCTCAGCAGGATTTCCAGGAATGTCTGTGCCTCTGCCTTGAGGCCCTGCAGTCAACTCAAAAGTCCTTAAGAGTAGTGTCTTCATGGCTTGGTGACCCCCTGACTCCCCTTGTATCTTAACTACTATGGTGGGAGGGAAGGTAAGGACCAGCCCTTATATGTGGGTCTTAGTGGCAAGGAGTTCCTGTTTCACGTGCTGTGGTCTAAAATATGACCCAGCCCTGAGAGCATGAGGGAGGCCAGGGCTCTGGGTAAGGAAATTCCTAAGGAGGAGAGAGCCCTGGGAATGCGATCCAATTCCAACCAGCATGAGCCCTCAGCAGGGAAGGGCAGCCCTGTCCCTCAGAGGGAGCAAAGTTCTATGAAGTACACATTTAGTAGAGTATGGATTCTGGAGTCATATTACTGGGTTTGAACCCTGTGTCCACTATTTACTAAGTATGACATTCGGTAAGTATTCTACCTCTCTAATTAGTTTTCCCCATTGGTTAATGGGAACAATGGCTTCCTTTTAGGGTTCTTGTGAGGGCTGACCAAACTATTACATGTAAAACACTTAGCATGGTATAATGCCTGGCAGTGATGAGCACCCAGGAATTGCTAACTGCTGTTATTTGGACCACTTGCAGTAGGAGGGGATTTGGGCCAGGTTATATACAAGTCCACTGCATGTCTTTAGTAAAATTCTCTTTTCCCCCTCCTTTTGGCACTCTCTGAATTCCATTTGCTGCCCACTGGGAATGCCTGGCTTCTGCATCTCCATTGTGACAGATGAGGAGGTAAGAATGCTCCTGGGAAGTTAACTTCTGGTCTCCTTGTGCCCCACCCTCCTTAACCAAGTCCCTGTCTCACCCTCTGAAGAAAGCAGGTATGGAGGGAGACAGAGCTGCTCCCTGTTGTTGGGCAGATTGTTCACTGCGCAAGAGCACTTAGCAGAGAGGTGGGGGCTGAAATCTAGCCTGTGTTCCGCTTGCCAGGTTGTGCTCCTGTGAGGCTGCATCTCCCCAGAGGGGAATTTGCACGAAGGCGCTATGTGAGCTAGTTGGCAGCCCTGGAGAGAAAGAATAGAGACCTTTTGGCATATGATGAATCCTGCCAATGCTTCCCACAGTGCTCTGTGGGAAGGCTGTCTGGGAAGCCTGTAGGTTGGATTGGTCCCCACTTGGCTCTCCCCTCTCCAGCCTAGGGCACTCCAGAAAGGGGATGGTTTTCTGGGTTACACACTATTTCAGTCCTCACCTTGGAAAGCCACAAGGTGAACTCTGCTCTCAGCAGCCCCGTGTCCTGAATTTGGCAGTGTCCTGATTTTATAGTGTGTTGTTCCCATAAGTACTTTAGTTCTTCTTGGCCCATGTTTGATAAGATAGTCCAAGCTCTCCTGCCTCCATTTGTCTCATGCCATCTCTCTTACCCAAAGCCTATCATGGCCTCTAATGGGTCCCTCCCATAGGCTATCTTAGGATGGACAGTTAACTACAGATAAAAAACAATTGCGGGGAAGGGCAGAACAGCCTGAGCTCAGATAATGGAACAGCTGCAGAGGAGGTGCCAGAAATTTGGCTGCCACCCCTTCTGCCATGGCTTCTTATCCAGCGCAGTTCTCTGTGCTCAGCTGTGGGTGGGAGCAGCTACTTTTAGAGATTGTCTCAGTGCAAGACAGTAAATCCTCCTCTTCCTCCCTTTCTCTCTCCCTCCCTTCCTCCTCCTCTCCCTTCCTTCCACAAACAATTTTTGTGTAGATGCCTACACTTTGCTAGGTGCTGTCGGGGAAAGCATTGAAGCCTCACAGCACACACATTCTTTGGCCTTGAGAAACTTACCATCTGGGTGGGGAGATAAGACATGGACAGGAAACAACAATATGAAATAGTTTGTGCTCAAATTGTCCAAATAAATGCAACAGACTTAAAAGGGGCTCTTGGAGAGAGGGAGTGAGCCTGGAATTTGATGGGGTCAGGTTACCCGCTCCTTCCCAAAGCCAGGGGTTATCTCAGCAGTTAGCCTCTTGCTCGCCCTTTGATGCTAATCTATACCTTTGGGGAGGAATACTTCCCCTATTTCAGGATATGATGTTTTTGATTGAGCAAGTTCCTCCCTATTTTGCCCCATCTTGTTTTGGTTTAGGAAGTCAAAGCCTTGGCAGCAGGACAGCTCCTTCCCAAAATAGCTCTTATCCTGTCTGGACAATTGTGGCTCTCCAGCCCTGTTCAGTAGCAGAGCTGCTCCCCAGAAGCTGGAAGAGGAGACTCACAGGCAGCTGGGCCTGTTGGTCTTCCTGGCTCTCTGGAAGTGGTGTGGCATGGAAGTGGGCCAGGTATCGTACTTGTGAGAGAGCTAGGCCTTCCCCGGCCTGCCCCCTCCCCCCAGTGGCCCCAGGTTGGAGACTGTGGCGCTGGCATCCAAGGCTTCTGGTTCCTCTGATCTGGGAGTGGTTGACTGTAGAGCCTGTTCCAGATTCTACTCTCAGAAGGAATTCTCTGGTGGCCTGGCCACGGTGCCTGGCTCGTGGATGGCAGCATGTCTATTATTGAGCTTTATAGGCCCGTCTGGGTCCACAGCTGGGGATGGGGCATGATTCAGCCCATCTCTCTGTGTCAGTCCCCTCCCAAGCAGCCCTCAAGGTCCTTCTGTCTAAGGAGGGGGATGGACAGATATTTCTTATCCTTGGATTGGGACATTAGGGGCTGGAGTCTGCAGAGGAGGTTATGTTGGACTGAGAGATACATTCCTGGGTACATGGTTGGGTTTTTTTTTTGTTGTTGTTGTTTTTAAATATCAGAACTAGCCAAAGCTCAACAGGAAGGTCGTGAGGGTGTCTCATGGGGTCAGCGGGAGCTGTCTTCTCACACAGCCCTGGGGGAATTCTGTAGAATAAAATAGCTCTTGATGGGAGGGGCTGCAACACCCATGATGGGATGGGGTTGTCCTGGCCCCAAGATCCTGTGTCCTTAAGGCCCCAGCCTACCTGCCCTTGGATGTGACTTCTCAGGCTGTCAGTGCACAAGGTGGTTTACTCCCTGCTATATCTATCAATTATGCAAGAGGCCAACTCTGGAAAACAGGCCAGGAACTAGAGGAGGCTCTCTCAGTGATATCTAAGGTAGATTTGGGTATCTTTGGGGTGATGTGTCATTTGGCCCCTGGGAGATAGGACAACCAGGCTCCTGCCAGTTCCTGAGACATGGAGATGATGTGCGTATGTAGACTTTGTAGAGAAAGCAAACTCTAGAGCCTGGGAGGAATGCAAAGAGGCTCTGCATTCATAGGGATGTTACTAGAGCCCCAGCATAAGGGCTGTCAGAAAGGAACCCTGGAACCATCTTCCTCACTCCTCTCATTTTCTCTTGCTTTGCACAGAGGCTCATAGTTGAGGGGAAAGGGAATTGTTGAAAGAAAGAAGCACAGATGCTTAAAATGGGACAGGGCACCTCAGGGGGCTTTTCATAACAGCTTGACCCTCACCACATGGCTTCTTTTCCTGTCAGATGGTACCTTTTCATTTCCAGGTACCATGGGCAGTCAAGTCCAGAGCAGGATAGGATGCTAGTGACCTCTGACCTAGACTTGATATTTTGGGGACAGGCTAACTTAAGTTACCAACTCATCAGGGTTTGACCAGGACTTTCCTGGCTCTAGCCCTGAAAGTGCTATGTCCTGAGAACTCCCTTAGTCTTGGGCAGAGCAGGGCAGCTGGTCACCCTTGGACAGGCTGGGGCACGGTGTGCCTCAACAGGAGCCACTGGAAGCACAGGGCAGAGGGATAATGTCCCTCCTTCATTGGAGACCTGGGCAGATTGCTACCTCTGCCTACAAAATCAGGGCAGGAAAAGCCTCCTTCTCAGGCTTGATGGCAGAACTGAGGCCAGAATCCCTTAGTTTCTGTTCTGCCCAGAATGATCCTGCATAGGAAAGAATCTGCAGCATCCATTTTGGACTTTCTGGTGTATTTCCAGGAGCTCCTTGTTTCTCTGCCTAGAACCCATCTTCAACATTATGTCTTTCTGTCAGAGTCATTTGGTGATGTTTGAAATGGTGGATTTTTTTTTTCTGAATAAGAGGAGAAACACCGCCTGGCTGGATTAGGGAGCTTGGTGTCAGAGGGCAGAGTGCACACTTGGGTGAGGAAGCGAATCTCTAACACTACAGCTACCCAGACAGCTGCTTAGCCAGGGGAGGGCGTCCTGAGTGACAGAAATGACCATGTCCCTTCACCCTTCTCTGCTCAGCTGCTTGGTCCCAGCTGCCATGAAGGGGGAAGCACCAGACAGCTGCACCTGGGGGCTGAATGAAGGCCTGGGGGAGGGGGACAGAATGTGAGGCAGCTCCTGGGGGCAGCAAGGGCTCTGACGCTGTAAGTGGGAAGCCTGGCCAGCCAAAGCCATTTCCTTGGCATACCCCCACAGGCAAAGCCGTCCAGCTCCAGGAGTCTTCACTGCGGCTGTTTTTGGGAATTCAGTTCAGTGAGTCTGAAACCAAGACCTGCGTTCTAAAGATGGAGTGGTGCATAGCTGGGGAAGCCGACTCCACAGTTGGTGGCAGCATGGTCCTTCCCATGTCACTTTAGTCTGAGGCTCTTCTGTCACCCTACACTCACTTGCACAAGCCTAATCCTTTGG